CTCTCCTTTTCTCTCTCTGAAATCAATAAAGATATATATATATATATATAAAAGAATTTGATTTGTAGTGAGTGTGGTTTGTGAAGTTGAGGGCCCAGCACTTTTAAAACGGTTGACTTGCGCGTGGGGGAAGGGGGCACATCCAACTGGTCTCTGGCTTTTACGCTGTATGAAAGAGGAATAGGGTCCCTGTCTTCCAGCCTAAACACAGAGTTGGGATCCAGAAAGGGTGGACAGACTTTAGCTGCAGCACAGAGGGAAGGGGAAGGGAGCGGCAAGGGAATGGTTGTTTTAAGGCCAGTTCCCTCCCTTCTACCCAGATGACAGTTCAGTTGACAGCGATTCAGGAATTTACTTGCGGCCTATGTTGCCCACCAAGGCTAGTGGGTCAGTGATGTAAGCGAAGAACTTTTCTCTGACTTGGTAACTACATGATAATTCACAAGCAATCCAAAGACAGATAGTTATTTCCAAACACATTCTCCAAAATAATTTAATTTCAATGGAAAAAGTAAAACATTCATAATATATTACCTTATATTTTCCTTTAATAATGCCTTCAAACAATCTTTCCTTGGTTCCATAAAAAGGCAAACAACCACTGAGCAGAATAAAAAGGATCACGCCACAACCCCAGACATCTACGGGTTTTCCATAAGGCTCTCTTTTGACAACTTCTGGGGCCATAAAATGAGGTGTTCCAACGCGTCCTACATTTAAAACAACAACAACATCAAGAAAAAAATAATTTACTTAAAAATGAGCTTTTATTCCCTTGAAAACTGAAAATAATAGAACAGTAACAGTTTGAACGAAAAGTTTAACAATATAAATATTCTCTCACCGCCTCTGCCTTCCTCCATAAAATCAAGTTCACAGAAGGAAATAAATTACCTATCTAATCACTTCTTGAAAATAGAGCCCGGGATAGGAACTTGGTCTTCTAACACTGGTCCTTCCTATTGAATTCAGCAGGGTGCCCAGCAAGTGTTTACCTATTTCCTGCTTCATGAAGAAGTTGTTTAAATTTTCTAATTTTCATGTTATAAAATCACTAAAAATACAGAGCAGAGGTAGGTAGAAGAGTCAGCAGGCAGTGTAGCTGCCCAGGAAAGAGCTGGGAGGGCCTGCCCTGGGAAGGGGGAGGAAGGGGATGGGTGGTGCAGGGGTGAGAAGAAACCTGTGGAGAAAAAGATTACTTCTGACTGCCAAATTAAACCTAATGCTGAAAACTTCTATTTAGAATATGACTTTGAATCTTAAATCCTCTTAAGATTTTAGGTGTTGACTATAGCAATTAGCAATGATTAGTAATACTTTGTTATAGGATTTTTAAAGCTTCCCCGTAATGCTAACATTTGAAGAGAATGAGGGCAAATATATGATATAAACCAAAAGTCATGAAGCTCCCATTCAATCTTTTTGACTTCCATTTTCTTTAAAGAGTTTTCTTTTTTTCCTATTGAAATTAGCTTTCAGGAAGGAATCTGATAGCCATTGTCTGTATACTAGTAACCATCTTTAACTCAGTATTCCAAAGGGAATCCTTTCTTCTACTGTACCCTGTAGGGAAATTATTGTGGAAGGGGGCACTACCCAACAGTCTTGGCAGCTCTTCTACTTGTATGCAGGCCCAGTTTCCTCCTCTTCTCTCTCTCATTATACGGAGTCCAAGCTCATTTTTACTTTGAACATTACATAATACAGCTCAGAACTGTGATTCAGAGTTAAAAAAAGGCCCGAGAGATCTTCTAATCCAGCTAGAGAGAATGTATCATAAAGTCCTATTAGTAATTGTTAAACTCGCTTGGGATGGAGACTGATAAAGCAACTGTGTGTCCTGGGGCTGTACCTTGCTGCATGCAGCTCATTATGGTTCCCCTCATAATAGAGATTAAATTCAGGGTTCAGAGAGTCAAAGTATTTTCACTTAAGATGTACAGTAGATCAGTGAAAACTCTACTGGTTAGAAGAAAAGATCTTTATTTCCATATTGTCCCATTTTGCTTCCTCAAGTAACAAAGGGAAGC